GGGTTCTTCCTCCACTTGTGGCCTAGCCTTCTCCTAAGCCGCTTCATCGCTTGAAGGTCCTGGTTAAACCAGGGTCCAGGCCGAGCTCTGCGTTGGAGAGGGCGATTATGCGCTATCGTGTCTATAGCCCTGGTGGCGGTGGTAAACCAGCTATCAACCAGAGCCTCAACAGGAGCGCCAACCAGCTCAGCCATAACACCTTTCATGTCATCCTGAAATCCAACAGGATCCAGTAGCCTTCGAGGGCGGACCATGGAAATAGGTCCCTGCTGCCTGCAAGGGGGGAGAGCCACTGAGAGGTTACATTTTATTAGGTGGTGATCTGACCATGACAAGGGGACCAACACAAGGTCAGTCACCATCAGACCACACTCACTCCAATTGGTGAAAAAAAACAGGTCTAACATGTGACCTCCCACATGGGTGGGGCCGTTGACATGTTGGGACATGTCCAAGGAAGCCATAGTTTCCAAGAAAGCAAGAGCTGGCCCAGAAGTCTCTGCCTCCACGTGAATGTTGAAATCACCCAAAACCAAGAGTTTTGGGGATCTCAACAATGCCGCAGAGACAAAGTCCACCAGCTCCGGTAAGGAAATGGCTGGGTCGCGGGAAGCACGGTAACCCACCAAGATCCCTGGCCCCAATCGACACGTGGAGGGCCTCTAGACCCAGCTTTACCACTGAGGAGCACCTAGTAACCTTCAAGATGGATTTATAAACAATGGCTACTCCCCCCACCCCTCCAGTCCACCCTGGTGCTGGACAGCATAACCAGGTGGACAGGCGAGCAGTAGGGGAGGGCCCCCCTCTCCGCCAATCCACGTTTCAGTTATGCATGCCAGGTCTGCATCCTCCTCCAGATTAAGATCGTAAATCACCTGGAGCTTATTGGATACAGACCTGGCATTCAACAGCACCAGGTTTAGAGTGGAGGGCTGGCTGGACTGGCTACCTTGATACTGATGGTTGATCACAGTCCCAGAACAATGAACAGCCTTCAGATACCTGTTCATCGTTCTTCTAACACGGGTAGGAACTGTGTCAACGCCATATCTCCCTCTACCCATAATCAAAGGCCCCTCACTGGGAGGGCAGGCCTTCCATTCCATATCAGAGAAAAAAGAAGAAAGGAAAAGAGGAAAGAAAGAGAAAAGGAAAAAGAAAACAAATACCCTAAATTAATACAACAATACTACTACAGCTATACATTAACTACCACCCAGACAGATGTTACATATGGATCATTTGAAGGACATACATTTTTATAGACACATAAACACCTAACCACCCAAAATGTTGGTTTGGGGTTTTTTTAAATGTAGAAATCTTCTGTTTATGAAGAAAGCAGGCAATATAAAGACAGAAAACATTGATTCAACAATTAGGGACAAGGCAGGCTCAGGTGATTAAATCATGAAAAAATAAAGAAAGGAAATAAAAATAAATAAACAGCATACAAATGTAGGTTCTTACCTTATCAATTTCTTGGTGGCTATGTATGGTTTTATTTCCACTTTTTGTATCTATAGAGGTTTCATTGTGGTAATTGGCAGGAAGTTTCTCAAAATCAACTCCTGTTAGTCTTCTGACACCTTCTTCCTCTGCCTCCATCTAACAAATTCATGACCAAATCATGTTAGAAATAATATATATTATCTAAACCAATGAACTCTTCACTCTTTCATTACTAGTCTCTTCACTGAAAGGAGTGCCTCTCCCTATATAAACTTGCCCAATTATTAAGATATGTTGGGGGGGGGGCTCCTCTGTCTACCTACCTACCTACCTACCTACCTACCTACCTACCTACCTACCTACCTACCTACCTACCTACCTACCTACCTAGTCTCCCTCCCCACGTGGGTGCGAGGCACTCTTCACTCTTTCATTACTAGTCTCTTCGCCGAAAGGAGTGCCTCTCCCTATATAAACTTGCCCAATTATTAAGATATGTTGGGGGGGGGACTCCTCTGTATTCCACCACTGAGAACCATCCATTATGTGGAGATGGGGGAGAGGCTTTCTCGGCTGTACCACCCTGACTGTGAAATGTTCTCCCCTTGGACACCAGACTGGCATCATTCTGATGCCATGTTGAAACATGTTTATTTATTAAAGCCTTTGGAGGTTGAGAATGCTAGACTATGCAGGTTTTTAATACAATTTTTTAAATGTTTAATACAATGTTTTAAATGTATGTGTTTTAAACTGTTTAATCTTAAATAGTTTTAAAGATTTTATGTTTTTAAATAATCTTACACAACTGTGTAACCCACCCCATACAGTATCTCACAATGTAGGGTTGGCTGTTAAGTGCTTTAAATATACAAACAACAAACATACAAGCAAACAAAGCATTCTTTTATACAAAGCTGTAATATGTATGCTCAGAAACACCCTCACCCTGTTCAAATGTTTACTGTCTGCAGATTGGCGTGCCAGTCTGGCCCTATGTTATCAGGTTATGGCAACACATCACCCAATCCAATACAGTTTTTTCAGGGAACTGAATTGTACTTTTAAAGCAGGAAAGCTACTGTACAGAACTGAAATGCACTTTGCAATCAGGGAAGCTAGTGGACTGGGTCTTACTCCTGAGCAGACATCTACTGCATTTAGCTTCATATGCTTGGTGGAGAAATTGATCATAATCACAGCATAAAGACTTCTACAGTAAGATCTCTTTGGTCTATTTTGTTATCTTGTTTGCCATTTAAAAAGGAGGTTCCTTGCTATGCTGGTTATTCATTTATTCAAAGGACAGAATAATCCACTCTCATTATCATCTATTCCTGCGCTTTCACACATTGGTACCTTCCTTGTCCTAACAGAAGAGAGCGGAAGGACAATGTTCTGTTTGCTTTTAGCAAACATGGCACAAGCCTGTAACCAAGTTGGAGCAGGTGGTTAAATACAATCTGGAGCCCAAACGAAAATTATCCATTCACCAGGAAACACCTTATTACTGATCACACACCACAATCCCATGAGCTGCTGTTTCAGTTGTATCAGACATTTCTATATTATTTGAGGTGGAAGCATGAACAAAGCTAGGGAAGTTCATCCCAAACTCCTTGCCCCTTTTAATAGTTAATAACAACTTTATTAATGTAAAAAGTATTATCTGCTTTATCCCTCCCCTCCCCTGATCTTACTGTACTCATAGCTTCAACTGAAAGCCACTGCAATGGTCCAGACCCTTTGGGTAGAGGTAATTATTAGGAGGTTATCAAGCAACTAGAGATCACATGTGAAAACAAATATCATTCTAAACAAGAAAATATCCTATTGGTAGCCCAGAATATTATCAATCAGACAAGTTCTTCAAGAGTCAAACTTTACCCATGAGTGAATAGTCATGTTTGATCTGTGCATAAATGCATTGCACAGTTCCTCTGGAAAAGATACACAGAACTGATTGTCTCTCTTTTCAGAGATGAAACCATTTTTCACAACGTAAGTGATGGAGCCTCTAACTGAGGAAGTAATGTGTAACTAACAGCCAATACAAAGACATGGATTTGATGGGACACCTGCTGAATTCAACTAACAGGCAATGGCAATTTGGGATTAAATTTCATTTAAACCAACAGAGGCATGCTAGACTGGAATGTTAAAATTATCAGGATATGGAGCAAGATAATCAACAGAATGAGTTGATGTATTTTTTGGTTATAATGATGGAAACAGAAAACGGCTGCACTAATTCTTGTGTTGTTAAACACATCATCATTTTTTCAATTGTTGTTTAGTCGTTAAGTCGTGTCTGACTCTTTGTGACCCCATGGACCAGAGCACGCCAGGCCCTCCTGTCTTCTACTGCCTCCCGGAGTTTGGTCAAATTCATGCTGGTAGTTTTGATGACACTTTCCATCAATTTTTTCAATAGGAAACTCCAAAAGATTAGTAAAATTCAGCTCCATATTTTCAGCTATGTCTCAGTGAGAGAAACTAGGCTGAGCAGGTTAGAACAAGGGGGCACCCAAAGCATACTTGCTCATCCAATGAGGCTATCAAAGTTTTACATGCATTGACATGACAAAGATCAGTCAGCTATAATGGAAAATGAGCAGCAGAGCATTAATGCAGATCTGAATGCCACTACCCCTTAGCTTGATCCATGACATACTATTGATGTGTAAAGAAAAAATAACATATTTAATGATAATAATACAATCATTTGTTTGTGTTCAGCTCACTTTTAATATGTCATAAATAAAATTATATTCCCTGGCCTACCACTATTTACTGGTGTAACATTCATACTTTCTCCTGAAACACTGAAAACTAAGTTTTAAAGTTAAGGAGAAAAAATGTTCTTAAAATGTAAATATAAACCATTCAAGAAACACATATGGAAATGCTGGCCTATGCTTAATGATATTTCACCCTTGTCTCATTGCAGGAAACTGCTCAAGGGGTCTGTTTTCCACAGACAGATCATTCACACATTATAAAGAAAAGTGTTTACGCAGAGTATAATCGGGTTAAATGTAGTTTTAGAATAGGTAATTGTGTTAGTCTGTGCTAACTTCTCAGGCAAAAATGAAAGAAAAATAAAAAATAAAGATGGCAAAAATATTGTGGCACCTTAAAGACTAATTGCTATATTTTAGTGTGAGCTTTCATGGACGAATCCACATCTTTAGACATAATGGGACTAGAGATGGGCACAAACCTCAGTTCAGCAGTTTAACTGCCCAGTTAAGTGGCTGCCCCAGCTTCCCTTGCCTTGCCTTCTCTGGCAGGCACCCACTCCGAGGTAGCATCTGGAGGAGGCAGTGCTGGGAAGTCACACCACTGTCTCTGAGGGGGCACCCGCCATACACGGAAGGGCAAGGGAAGCCAAGGTACCTGCGGAATACCTGAACCGCAGTTCATGTCCTTCTCTAAGTGGGGCTACAGGGCAAATATTTACACATTAATACCTGGCCCAAAACATTTTTTTTACTGGGCACAAGTTGTTGATAGTGTGGCAATAGTCTTTTAAGTTCTCTGTTGATATTCAGTTCCCCTCCCAGGAAACATTGTTATGTAAACCATGAAAATGACTGGAGGCTATATTAATCCCAGGCTCTAGCTAATGAGCAGGAACAACATTGTAATGAATATCGCTAAACATCAGTGGGGCTTGTAAGGTAGCACTAGCTAGTTAGTAAGGAAACATAGCCAGGAAAAATAGCTAGGAATTACAGCAGATACAACAAAATATTTTGCATTTGATAATAGCCTAAGAAACTTTAGCTTATATTGAGTCTACTGAGATAGATTTGAGAGAGAGGGGGGGATTATACCTGGAAAATGCTGAAAAGGATTGCCATAAGTGAAAATTGACTTGACAGCACATTTTTCCTGCTGCTGCTGCTGTTGTTGTTATTTTCATATATGTCCATAATTTTAAATTATGCAACATTCTAAATGAAGAAAGATCATAATGCCAGCATAATTATGAAGTAGGTCAAAACATATAGCCTTAATTTCAGATATTTAAATGTTTGTTGTTGCTGGTGTGTGCTGTCAAATTGGCTCTGACTTCGGCAATGCTACAAATGAGTGACCTTCAAAACATCCTGTCATGAACAGCCCTATTCAGCTTTTGCAAAACTTAAGGCTATTTTTTTCTTTAGGGAGTCAATTCATCTCATATTTGGTCCTATTTTCTTGCAGTCTTTAACTTTTCCTAACATTATTCGAACATTAACTTTAAAAATTGATTCATTCTGTTATTCTTTAACTAGGTCCAACATTTCATTTGTTATCATTAATGCTGTTAATGAAAACTAGTACAGAGTAGTGGACAGGATGTCAGACTGGGACTCAAGAGATTTGAATTCAAATTTCCCCTGGCTGAATAGCCATGAAAATTTTTGGGGTGATGGTTACTGGGAAAACCACCACTTAAATAAATCACATACTCTGGAAATCCTACTAAGGTTAACATGAATTGGAATCACCATGATGACATATAACATATCATGGTAGAGGAATTTTTTAAATTGTTATGTTGTCATACTTGTAACATTTTCTAAAGAAGCACTAGAATTTAGAGAAAATGGCATATATTTTGTGAATGCTTTTACTTCCAATTTGTTCTGAACACATTACTGTATTTCTAACCTCTGATCCATTCCACTTTAAAGATGGACTTCATAAGGTTTTTAAGGTGGACTTTATAAGATCTCTAAGTGTAGCTAACCTCCCACCAAGGCTCTTTTCCCTCTTTCACCCAGTTCTAAGTGCCACAAAGAAAAAAAATTGAATTTTCCAAATCTTGATTTCCCTGTACCTGATCTATATTTTTATCAAAATAATGCACAATGGCTAAAATTCAGTAGCACAGCATAAGTAGAGTAGGCCTATTGAATCAGTGGAATTTACATAGGTGTTAATTTATCAAATTCCCATTAATTCAATAAGCCTACTTTAACTGCAACCTATTACTGGATTTCAGCCTACAATTATGCACAAATTAGTAAACCTAGCAATACATCCTCAGGGTTACACCACTGGGATATTTTCCAAAAATAATCAAAAGTGTCCGTTACAAAGCTCAAGGGAGCTTGAAGCCAAGTTACCTGAAAAACAGCCTCTGGTCAAGCAAGTCACCTCTA